CTTAACCATTCATCCATTGAAGAACATCTGGGTTGTTTCCATTTTGGCTAATAGGAAGAAAGCTGTTATGAATACTTGTGTACAGGTTTTTGTATGAGAATAAATTTGTTTCCCAGGGATAAATGCCCAGGGGTGCAATTACCGGATTGTATGGTAATTGCAGGTTTAGTTTTATAAGAAAGTGCCAAACTGCAAGTGGCTGTAACCTTTTATAGTCACCACCAGTGTATGAGTGATCTATTTCCTCTGTGTTCTCACTGTGTTTTCATATATGATGAGAGCCATTTTGATATGTGTGTAGTGATATGTTGCTGTAGTTTTAATTTGTTTTCCTAATAGATAATGAAGTTTTATCTATTCATGTGCTTTTTGCCGTAAGTCCTTTGGTGAATTATTTATTGAAATCTGTATTCATTTGCTAGTGCTGCCATAATAAAATTAACAGATACTTATTTCTGACATTCTCACAGTTCTTCCAGGAGACTGGAAGTTCAAGATCACAGTGTTGGCAAGTTTGGTTTCTCCTGAGGTGTCTCTCTTTGGCTTGCAGATGGCTGTCTTCTCAGTGTGTCCTCCCATGGGTTTTTCTCTCTGCCACCATTGGTCTCTCTCTCTCTTCTTATATGGACACCCATCCTGTTCGATTAGGATGCCACCCAGATGGTCTCAATTAAACTTGTTTACCTCTTTAAAGGCCTTAGTTTGGCATGTAGTCACTTTGAGGATGAGGGCTTCAACATGTGAATTTGGAGGGAAGTACAGTTCAGTCCTTAACAATACCTTTTGCCCTTTTTAAAATTGAATTAATCATTGTTGTTGTTGTTGTTTTCCTGTTGAATTTTAGGAGTTGTCTTCATATTCTGGATACTAGTCCTTTGTCATATGTGTGATGCAGATATTTCTGCCAGTCTAGAATTTTTTTTATTCTTCATAAAAGGGTTTTTCAGTTTTTCATGGAGCAAGAGTTTTTAACTTTGATGAGTTCCAGTTTATTAATGTTCCCTTTTATGGACTGTGCTTTTGGTGTCAAGTTTAAACACTCTTTACTTAGTTATATAACTGTTTTAAAAACTTTTCTACCATGTTGAAGTAAAAATTATTAGAGATCACAAATTATACATTTGTTTTCCTAAGGGGAATTTGTGAAGGTATAAAAAGGGGATTCACTTAGAAATAGGGGCAGGTCAGTCATGAACAAAAGAAAATACTGGGGGCGCCTGAGTGGCTCAGTTGGTTAAGCGTCTGCCTTCGGCTCAGGTTATGATCCCAGGGTCCTGGGATCGAGCCCCGCGTCGGGCTCCCTGCTCCGTGGGAGGCCTGCTCCTCCCGTTTGTGCCTGCTCGCTTGCTCTCTCTCTTTCTCTGTCAAATAAATAAAGTCATTAAAAAAAAAAAAATTCCTTTTTCTCTGGCATTCTCCAGGACTATCTTTCTTGGGTTTTTTCCTCTGGAATTAGCTGCTGTCTCACAGTTCCAGTTTTTAGTTCTTTCTCCTTGGCTCTTGCTCCGGTACCAGCAGAACCACAGTCTGTCTGTACATCTGCCCAGAGGGCCTTGTCACATGTCATCTCAGATGCAGACAGGCACGGAATTGAATGCATTTCAGGCGTGAGGTTCCTCCTAACTTCACCTTTGATGTTTTTAGTCACCTATAGGTCATAGCCCACGTTGGGCTCCCTGCTCAGCGGGGAACCTGCTTCTCCCTGTCCCTCTCCTTCTCCCCCTGCTTGTGCTCTCTCTCTCACTCAAATAAATAAATTTTTTTTTTAAGTTTTTATTTATTTATTTGAGAGAGAGAGAATGAGAGAGAGCACGAGAGGGAGGAGGGTCAGAGGGAGAAGCAGACTCCCTGCTGAGCAGGGAGCCTGATGCGGAACTCGATCCTGGGACTCCAGGATCATGACCTGAGCCGAAGGCAGTCACTTAACCAACTGAGCCACCCAGGCGCCCCTCAAATAAATAAATTTAAAAAAAGAAAAGAAAATACTGGGAGATGGTTCTTCATGGGGTTTCTTCATTTTTATAGCTCTTCTGAGTAGAGATATTGGTAAGTTTTATTTTGGACTGTCTTTTAAGGATGTTTGTATAGCACGCAGCCTTGAAAAAGAGAAATTCTTTCCCCCCTTAACAAGGTTATCTTAACCTGGTAACATCATTGTCTGCTTGGTTATCCAAGCTGGGAATGGGGGCATCCTTACTAAGTGCTCCTAGTTCATCCTTCACATCCACTAACTGCATCCTATTGATTTCAACTTCTACATAGTTCTTGAACCTATCTTATATTTTTATCTTCATCACTAATCACTGTGATTCATTACCACATCTTTGTCTTTAGTTTTCAGAAGTTTGACTTAATATGTCTTGTTATGGATTTCTTTGTGTCTATCTTGTTTATGGTTTACTCACCTTATTCAATCTGTAGTTTTATTTCTTTTGCCAAATGTAATAATTTTTCAGCCATTATTTCTTGGAGTACTCTTTCAGCCCCACGCTTTTTCTTCTCTATTTCCAAGATTCAGATGACAAGAGATGTTATTTTGTTATAATTCCACAAGTCCCCAAAGTTCTGGGGTTTTTTTTGGTGGGGGTGGGATGTTTTTCTTTTTCTTTTTGTTTTTTTCTTTGTCCTCAGTCTGTTTTTTCACTGTTGTTCTGAATGGGGAATTTATATTTTATTATGGTTCAGATCACTGATGATTTCCTTGTCCCCTTAATACTGCTTTTGATCTCAGTTACTGTTTAATTTTGATTCTTTTATTTTTCAGTTGTAACATTTCTGTTTGGTGTTTTTTTAATATATTGTTTCTTTCTTAAGACTTAGTAACTCTTCGGGCTCCCTGCTCAGCAGGGAGTCTGCTTCTCCCTCTGACCTTCCTCCCTCTCATGCTCTCTGTCTCTCATTCTCTCTCTCAAATAAATAAATAAAATCTTTATAAAAAAAAAAAAGACTTAGTAACTCTTTGCTAAGACCTTCTATTTTTTTTCAAGGATGTTCCTAGTTGCTCATTGAAGCATTTTTATGATGGCTGCTGTAAAATCTTAATCAGATAATTCTAATATTCCTGTTGTTTTAGTGTTGGCATCTACTGGTTACCTTTTTCATCCAGTTTTAGATCTTCCTTGTTCTTGGAATGATGAGTAATTTTTATTGAAACCTGGACGTTTTGGCTGTTATGAGATTCTAGATTTTATTCAGATCTTCTCTTTTAGCTGGGTTTGATACCACTCCGTCAGGGAAAGGTGGAGGGTGCATGTTGCCTCATTACTGCCAGGTCATGGTAGAAGTCCAGTTTCCCTACTCAGCCTCCATTGACACCTCAGGGAGGTTGAAATCACTGTTACTGTGGGTGAATGTGGGATTTCTGGCTCCCCGATAATTCTGTCCTGATAGCTGTGAGGGTGGGAGGGATAGAAATGCCTTATTACTGTTCCACATGTTTCCTCCACTAATGTCATTGTTACCAGTGGGTGGTGGTGCTATGTCTTGGGTGTCCACTCAGTATTTTCTTTCTTTCTTTTTTTTTAGAGAGCGAGCGAGAGAGAAACAGCATGAGAGGGGAGAGGGTCAGAGGGAGAAGCAGGCTCCCCGCTGAGCTGGGAGCCCGATGTGGGACTCGATCCCAGGACCCTGGGATCATGACCTGAGCCAAAGGCAGACGCTTAACCATCTGAGCGACCCAGGCGCCCACCACTCAGTATTTTCTTACACTAGCTCAGTGGGAAAGGATAAGGTCACTTTGTTCTTGATGGGCAGACTTAGATGTGCAAGTTCCCCACCTTGTCTTCATTGACACCATGGGGATGCTGTGTTATCTTCTGGTGGGAATTAAAGTCTTGGCTATGGTGGCCTTTTCTGACATCACTCCAGTGGGATGATTGAGGCATCTCATTACAGCATGGGGAGGTTGGAAGTCTAGGCTCCCAACATCAGCCTTTGCTGGTGAGTCTAGGAATAGGCCTTAGTTTTTTCTCTATTGGTAGCTGCACCAGAATAGTTACTTTCTTACAGATTTTCTTTTTCTTGGTCCTTTTGGCTACAGAGAGTAGGCTTTTGGAGGGTTTGTTTTATCTGTGCTTGGTGTTTTTGGCTTATCAGCTTCTCTAGAACGCAGTTTCTCAGTCTTTGATATATGTGGTAAAAATGAAAACCCAAGGAACTTCTGTTGTTTCATTCTTTGGGTCCTGAGGTCCATATCCAGTCTTTTTTCTCTCTGCCTTTCCTTAAGTTTATTTTATATATAATGTCTCCTGTTTCTAGTTGTACATAGAGGAATAGGGAAAAGTATATCTACTCCATCTTTTCAGAAGTGAAAAGTGTGTTTCCGGTACTTAGTAATAAAAATTACCTCTAAACAGCCCTTGAATTGGATCTAGGTAGAAATTATTGTCTTTGTATGCTTTTTGTTTATTTATATTTAAGACTAAATGCCTGTAGGCAGATTTTATTGGCAGAGATAACAATGAATTCAAATTAAAAAGTACAAAGCAAAAATATAGAATCACCCCCTGTGGATATACAGTAAGTATCAACCTGAGTCTTTCTTGACAACACAGGGTTGTACTTAATCACTAGTTTTTAACCTGTCAAGTTTTATTATGATTTCTTTTATGCATGCTGCAGTTGAAATAGTTCTCTTTGTTCTGATCCTTTGATCCAATTACAGAGTGACTGATAATATATGGAAATAGTTCTCAGGTTTTAGGTAATCTTCTTATCTTCTGTTATAGGCTTTGTTAGTCTCATGGTCAAGTTTTGCCTTTGGTCAGCTATGGATATATCTATGGGGATTTAATATTTTCAGAGGTTTACTATGTAATATAAAAGAAGTATTATATATAGCACTAAAGGACAGTTATGTTGTTATAAAATAAGAGAAAAGGCAAGGCCTTTCTTTTATACAGGTAGCATAATATTTTCAAATTCCTTTCAACAGTGGTATTCTACAGTAAAATACTATCATGATCATAGGTGTTAAAAAGTTTTTTTTGTATTTCTTACAGGATGATGGTTTAGAAGACAATGAAAAGAATTTCTATGAATCTGATGATGAACAGAAGGAAAAGACTGACCATAGGAAGAAGCCATATACTATGGACCCAGACCATAGACTTTTAATTCGGAATACAAAGCCTTTGCTTCAGAGCAGGAATGCAGCGGTATGTTAAAACTCTTACGAGAAATAATTTATGGATTTTTTAAACATGGTTAAAAGTATGTAAGTTCAATAAACAGTTTTTCAGTGTGCTAATGGAACATTTGTCTGTTTATTTGATCATACACCAAAAAATCAGGTTTGATGAGATTACTTGGTTTGGTAGTTACATGCCTACTGGACTTCATTTACTTTTTTGTGCTTTTGTTAATTGGCTTTTCCTAAGATATGAGCTCAAGATGTTTCTCATTGGATTGGAAGACAGTGCGTATTTCTCTGTTACTTGGTTGTAGTTGAGAGTATTTAATCTGGTATCAGTCCATAATATTCAAATGAACCTAGTAAGAGTTTTTAAGAGACTGACATATAAAGAAAGTGTCTAGCATAACGCCACATACTTAATAAATTTTAACTGGTAGGAATAGCAGTTAAAAATCATTTTCATTTGGGGCGCCTGGGTGGCTCAGTTGGTTAAGCGACTGCCTTTGGCTCAGGTCATGATCCTGGAGTCCTGGGATCGAGTCCCGCATCGGGCTCCCTGCTTGGCAGGGAGTCTGCTTCTCCCTCTGACCCTCCCCCCTCTCATGTGCTCTCTCTCTCTCTCTCATTCTCTCTGTCTCAAATAAATAAATAAAATCTGTAAAAAAAAAAATCATTTTCATTTGAGTCCTGAGTTTGTTTTCTTTTGTTTTACATCTTTTTGTTTTAAATACACTTTATATTTTAGAAGACTACCTGTGCACAATAAAAAATTAGGAAATAGGGACTAGCAAAACTTTAAAGAAATTAAAACATCATATTCCCATCACTCAGAAACCACTATTATGTCGTGATGCATTTTCTGCCAGAGCCTTTTTCTGCATGAATATACATATATTCGCATGTATGTTTGTCTACACATACATATTTTTTAAACCAAGGTAAAAATCATACTGTACGTAGTACTTTTTTAACCATTTTTTTCCTACTCTCTAGTCCTATTTCAATAAAATTTCATCTCACTTAATACCAATTTATTTTAAATTATCTTTTATAAATAGGCAATCTAAACCAGTATCTATAGTATCTGGTTGTTACAGCTCTTAAACCTCTCAAGTCTCAACGAAATGTTCTTCTGGGTGTTCACTTTGCTTACTTCATAGTGCTATTTAATTTTTTCTTCTGTGCTCTGTGTTACCTGTTTACTGGAAGTTATATCTAAACATTTGATGGAGTCAAGTAAAACATTTTCTTCATATTTTTAATTTAAAAAATGTTCTTAATGAATTGTTCTGTTCAGTTAATAAAAACTTTGAAAACGTGGAATTTTACTTGAATTATTTTAAATTTTCCGATGCCTGCAAATTTAGAGCTTAGCGCTTGGTCTATGTATCTTAATAATTAGCAGAAGTTTTTATCTTATGCCTGATAATTTAGTTTCTATATCATTATTAAATAACCATACACAGTAATAAAAAAAATGCTATTTTACTAATGTTGTAAAACATGGTTATATTTCAGTGAGCCCAGCTTAGCCAGATTGTATTAAGTAGCTGTAACTTGTCACCTAAAACTCTCTCTATAATTGACTCACTACTTATCTTTGTTTTGGGAATTGATTATAGTCCAAATACTTACTGATCAAAAATGTTCTTGAATGGTGAAACAAATAGTAGTTTGTATTTTTTCCCCCAGTATGTTTGATTCCCTATTTACTTGATTGTGTACCAAATAAAGGTAGTTTACTTTTTGTCCCAATATATTTTGGTCTCCTGCTAATTTGATCCTGCTAAATACATATAAAGGTTGACTTTTGAAGGATTGTGAGTAGGTTTCCTTCATTTAGCCTTACAGTTAAAGGAGAGACTTTGAGAATTTTTTTCAGGAAACTTGGTTAGTTCTGTGTAGATTGAATTGGAGATAAGGGACATTGGCAGCAGAGTGTCGGGAGGCTGTTCTAACTGTAGATAAGGTGACAGTGGTATGAGTAGGTAGGAATAGAAAAGTGCTTATAGGATATACTTTATCATCAGTGCACAGGATTCAACTGTAGAAGGCCTATCTTATTTGTATAGTCATTTTGGACTTTGGAGATATGGGAATTTCCCTCTTGCCTTTTACAAATTAGACTATAAATTTCAAATTCTGGTTATGGAAGAAATTTTAAACTTTTAGATTTGTAAATACTAGGGGAAAAGAAGAGTATGTATCCCTGTGGGCTTAAGGGAGTGCCCTAAATAATATATTAGAAGAGATGACGTACTGAGTGGCATCTAGAATCTTAAAAACATTGACATGTATAGAAAGTACAGTTTACCTTTTTGCCAGTAGCATCGGACTATTTGTAATAGAAAGGGGCTTAATTAATTTCTGTAAAATATATTACAATTAAGTTTCACTTTCTTTTCTATTATATACTAATACTTACTAGTCAACTGTATGCTTTAAGATTTGTAAAAATGACTATCACCTACTTGTAGATTAAGTCAGTCATAGAGATTTTATTTTACAAGATTTTATTAAAAAAATTTTTTTTTAACATTTAAAAAAATATATTTATTTGAGAGAGAGCAAGCTAGAGAGAGAGAGAGAGAGAGAGAGCGCATGAGACAGGAGGAGGGGCAGAGGGAGAAGCAGACTGCCTGTTGAGCAGGGAGCCTGACATGAGGCTCAGTCTCAGGACCCCGAGATCATGCGTGAGCCAAAGGCAGATGCTTCACTGACAGAGCCACCCAGGCGCCCTTATTTTATAAGATTTTAAATTCAGGAGAGTTTGTTCTATAATTACAGTGTATTTGTGAATCACAAGTGAAAAAATAAAATATCCTTAAGTTCCTCAAATTCCCAAGTAATATCTGAAAGCTATAAATGAGCCTTGTTAAAAAAAAAAAAATACGGCAAAGTGCCAAACAACAGTAAATTTGGGACTCTGTGAACTGTATTTTTTTAAAAAATGTTTCTTAAAAAGAGAATAAAAAAATTTTAAAAATGTTTCCTAGTTTTGGAAGGAACTCCTTTTATCTCAAGCACCCTCAGCTGCTGTATGCTCTTTAAACATACATAAAACTCCTGCCACATATTTGTTAGAACTTTATAGAAGAAGCAGAAGTAGAGTAGTATTAAAACGTTTTCTGAGCTAAAGTCAAGATGATGTAACTACTGTGGCTCTCTCTCTGCATTTGTCACAGGTTAAACTGGATCACTTTTCAGTTTGGACTTTTGATCTCTGGATCTAAGTGTAGAGGCATGGCGGGGAAACATAGTACTCTTATATTTTATGACAGAAGTTCTCATCACCCTTTTAATGGCTTTGAAGCAAAGACGGTTTTTAAGGTTCTGCATTTTGAAGAAAAAGATTATTTCAAATGCTGCTGCTTTAGATTAATTGTTTTAGTAGAGTTCATTTAATTATAATTTTAATGTACTCATTTTTAACATTTCCAGCTTGTTACTTTTCCAGAAGTGTCTAGTCTTCATTTGGAAAGGCATACTTAGAACTTTTAAAACATTCCCAATCTCAGAGCAACAGCAGCAGTGTTAAGGAGAGTCTGGGGTTTGGAGTGTTATGTAAAGCTTTGCTATGTACTGACTGGCAGACTTTGGGTAGTTCATTTAACATATGTTTTCTGATAACATCTGTCTTCTTTTCTGAGGATGTGTTAGTTTCCTGGGGCTGTCATAACAAATTACCGCAAACCAGGTGAATTAAAACAACAGAAATGTATTTTCTCACTTTTTAGTGAGAAAGTGGAAATCCCAAATCAAGGCATCAAAGAGTCGTCGGTTCCTTTTGGTGGCTTTAAGGGAGAAACTGCTTTTTGGTAGTTTATAGTGGCTGCCCGCAGTTCCGCGCTCAGTGGCTTATAGATTCATCACCCCAGGGAATATACTCTGCCCCCATCTTTACATTGCCTTCTTCTCTGTGTCTGTGTGTGTTCTTTTCTGTCTTTTATAAGGACACTCACTGGATTTGGGGCCCACCCTAATCCAGTGTGATCTCAGTCTCCATCATTACCTTAATAATATCTGCAAAGACTTTTATCCAGGTAAGGTCACATTCTGAGGGTAGACATGAATTCTTGGGAGGACACTGTTCGTCCTGCTTGAAAGGGTAACAGCATATTCATCTTACTTCATAGGAATTTTGTAGGCGTAAACAATATGTGAGAATGTACTTTGTAGAGTGCTCCCATGTTTATAGTTCTTACTGTTTTCATGCTTTATCTTTTAGGTGGTAATGGCAGTTGCTCAGCTGTATTGGCACATATCACCAAAGTCTGAAGTTGGCATTATTTCTAAATCACTAGTGCGTTTACTTCGTAGTAATAGGTAGGTCATGATTTTATTTGTTTTTTCTTTTGTATTCCTTCAAAAGTAATGTTTGAACAAATATAATCTTTCAGACATTTATTACATGATTGTGTGTTCTATCTGTAAGATTTCATACTTAAGGGATCATCATACAAGCCTTTATACATTTTATCTCTAAGTTCGTGATAAATATAAAATTTCTTTTAAACTCAAGCCCAAAGAGATTGAAAATATTTTGGCAATGTTTAAGATCAGATTTTTGTCATTGTTTTGTTTTTTGTGTTTTAAGAATTACCACATAGTTTCAGCTATTTAGCTTACCCTGAATATTTTGTTATAATTAGTTACTTTAAATTTAAAATTTCTTTCATTGAGTGTTTACTTCTGCTAATAGAGTTGGGGGAAAAAGATGCATGTTTATTTTTGCCTGTAACATGACCTTCGTGCCACAGCTACTTAGCCCTAGACTGACTTCTGCCATTCCTTAGTGAGAGCCTTTGTGTTCCTAATCTTTCCTGTCTTTGTACACATGGTCATTCTTTTCCTTTTTCTCAGTTCATTAATTTTTCTTTTCTGTAACTCATTTAAAGGTTATCAAAAGGCTCTGGAATGCATCTTTCACATGAAGCTTTATACCAGATTCACTTCTACCTTAGATATTTGGACATAAAATAACAGAACTTTTTTTTAAATCTATCTTTTCACTCTGGTCAGAACTGAGTGACACAATGAGCATCTGATCAAGAGTTTATGTTAATGCTATGGTCATGTTTATTGTTAGCCCTAAGAATATCTTCCTTGCATGTGTTCAGAGTAGCTGTAGTATTGGCTTTACATCTTAGGAATACAGTATTGTAAAATAGGCTTTAACTTTTCCTCATGATGAATCAAATCTTATTTATTAGTAGTTCATAGGAAAATGTGTTTAAAAAGAAGACATAAATATCTCAGATTTACTAAAACCTTTTTAATATTTGAATTCAGTATGAAACTTACTGCTGATTTTTTTGTTTAATATACTGTGTACATAAAGATATTTAATTGGAAAATATATCCAATGAAAATTCTCCTTTAATTTTTAGGGAGGTGCAGTATATTGTCCTACAGAACATAGCAACTATGTCAATTCAAAGAAAGGTATGTACATAGTAAACACATAATCCAAGAGAGAAATGAATGCATTAGTACCAAAAGTGTATTTATATATTTCTTTTTATAATCTAGGGTATGTTTGAACCTTACCTGAAGAGTTTCTATGTTCGGTCAACTGATCCTACTATGATCAAGACACTGAAGGTATGCATGCTTTTATTTTTCAGGTACCCTTAGTACATCTTTACTTTGAAGATACTGCTGTAGCTTCTAGCATCTGCAAAATGGAGACCTGCTTTTTCAAAAACACAGATACATTTAGGGATTTTCTTTATACTTTCTAAACTTTATTATTATATCCAGTCACTGCTGCATCCTAATAATACAAAGTTGATACTTGCTACCTGCACGTTGAATAACCCATCGTATACTGGACAGACAGACAAATAGATAATTTCAGCACTATGTGTTTTTTAAGTGATATTATAGAGATTTGAATTGAGTACTGTGCAGAACCAAAAAATGGGGTTAATTCTCTAGGATTTAGAAAGGACTTGTGGAAAAGTTGATGTTTGAGTGGATCTTAAAAATTCACAAAAATATTATTCTTTTTTGTTCTTGGTTGGTAGATTGAATGGGAGGTGGTTGTAGGGTTTTGGAGTAGGAGAAAGGAACAGTTTATGCCAACAGAGATTATGAAAGAGTGTTGTGTTCAGGGAATAATAACTACATTAGAGAACATAGGGATATACAGTTACGATAATTAGAACAATGTGATATTTAGACAGAAGAATAAGTGGGATAGAATAGAAAGCGTGGAAACATCCATGTATATGAAGATGTACTATATAATAAAGGAGACCTTACAAACCAGTGTGGAAAGGATGGACTTTTCAGCTTATATTGGGATGATTGGCTATTCACATGGAAACTGGGTTTAATTATAAGGAAATCTAATACACATCCAAATTGTAGGATATTTTAGGAAATACTTGGCTTGCAGTCATCAAAAATGCAAGGTTGTGAGGGTCAAAAGAAAGATTGAGAAACTTTCAGGCCAAAGGAGACTAAAGATAAAACTGAATACAATGTTTGATATTGAATTGGATCCTTTTATTATATATTATTGAGATAATTAATGAAACTTAAATGGGAGTGATGATTGCATGAATGTATGTATAAGTGTTAATTTCTTGATTTTCTTGGTTCTCTTGTGTTCTGTAGGACAATGTCCTTGTTGTAGGGAATATACACAGAAGCATTTGGGGACAATGTGGTGTCAGATTGGCAACTCTCAAATGATTCACACCAAAATAGTTCCTTTTACCCTTTCTATATGTTTGACATTGTTTTTTAAAAATTATATAAAAAATGAAAATGTTTTCATCAAAATAAAATGCAAACTGAAGTCTTAATCTGGGAAACAAATATTCCCAGTATATATATCTGAAAAATGACTAGTATTCAAAATATATAAAGAACTTCTATAATCTATCCCTTTTAATTGGAGTGTGTAGACCATTTATTTTTAATGTAATTACTGATATGACTGTGTGTGTGTATATATACCACACATACATCTTGTGTTTTGTTTTCTATTTGTCCCATCTGTTCTCTGTTCCTTTTTTCCTTTTTCATGCGTTCCTTCAGATTATTTGAATATTTTTTATGAGGAAGAACTGAAACTTTTTTAGTGAGCCTATTGGAGATAGACTTTTAATTGTGTATTCTTATAACTATGAATCCAGAAGAAAGAATTAAAATGTCCCAAGTATTTGGGATGGTAGGATGAATGAGAACAAATCAAGAGAATTAACTAATATCTGGAAAACAGAGGTATTACATGGAGGGCAAGTTGTTTTCTAACTTTATTAATAAAGGGAAAAAAGTGCCAAACTGCCTTAAATTGTTCAGGTTAATTAGATATAAGTTGTAAAGTTGGTACAAACAGGGAAAATGTAGGATTCTCTTTTTCCTAATTGTTTTTAACCATTATGTAATTACTTGTTCTCTATTTGGAGATGTTAAGAGGACAGAATTTACCAGAAGGGTATAATGCCTCACAACATTTGTAACAGTGTGACTTTTTAAAAACAAAAATTACCTTTCTAAAATGAAACAAGATGAAACCAGAGAGGGAGACAAACCATAAGAGACTCTTAATCTCTGGAAACAAACTGAGGGTTGCTGGAGTGGAGGTGGATTGAGAGGCATGGGGTGGCTGGGTGACGGACATTAGGGAGGGTATGTGCTATGGTGAGTGCTGTGAATTGTGTAAGACGGATGAATCACAGACCTTTACCCCTGAAACAAATAATATGTTATATGTTAATAAAGAAAAAATTACCTTTCTATTAAATGCCTAGTCTTTATTAAATTAATCCTTTTTCTTTGTGTTTTACAATGTTACTCTCTTTTTTCTACTGTAGCTTGAAATTTTGACAAACTTGGCAAATGAAGCCAACATATCAACTCTTCTCCGAGAATTTCAGGTTTGTATGCAGTGCTGATTATAAAATAACTTCTAAAACATTTGTTTAGTTTACAGTCAAATATACATCTTCCTCAATTTCCCAATAGGTAATTGTGTTAAGTAAAACAGTGATTTGGGACAAGATTGAAAACTAAGAAATTTATAAATTTTCATGAATAAACATTAAGTACAAATTTAAAATTTAAGGGAAATGAAATAGTAGTCCCTTTCATGTTTTCATAGAATTTGAAAGACTGGGTTATAACTGTTTTTTTTTTTTTTTTTTTTAATTATGTTACTGGTAAGGATTCCATGTCTATGTGCTGTCATCATTACTAGTCCATTCCATACTCTGAATTCATGAAAGTGGCTTCACTTCTTACCTGGTTAATCTTGTTTAATTGACCTATTACTCTTTTAGATAGTTTCCTCTTAGCTTTATGTATTTTTGGTCTAAAATTGCTTCTGTTATGATGTTTTTATCATTGTTTTTGTTTTGTGTTGTTGTCCTTTTTAAAACCATTAATGCTTAAGGATGAGGTGCCTCCCAGCTATACACCCTTAAAAAATATTATTCAAAAATTATCTCATGGATATATGCCCTTTAAGATGGAGGGGTCAGCTCTGGAGACTTCGTGGTAGAGGGTATGAATTTTGTACCTCATCAGCAGTTTTCTTAGTAAAAACATACCACATGCTATACACAAATCACAGTTTTTGTTAACTCCCAACTTTTACAGATTTTATTTATTTTGTTGCTATAATCCTCCCTTCACCCATATTAAATTTCATTTTAGCTAAATAGATACTGTGTTTTTTTTAACTGTGTGATCTTATACTTTTAACAGGAGTAGTAGAATATTACAGCATGTCCATAATTTATAATTTTATAACTGGATTGCTGTACTGTCATGCTGTGTATTTTTCTAGAAGAATTCCTTGTAAAATTAGGATGTTTTGGGGTGCTGGGTGTCTCAGTTGGTTAAGCATCCAACTCTTGAATTTGGCTAAGGTCATGATTTCAGGGTTGTGAGATGGAGACCCATTTTAGGCTCTGCACTGGGTGTGGAGCCTGCTTAAGATTCTTTCTCTCCTTCTCCCTCTGCCCCACCTCCGCAAAGTAAATAAATACTTTTAAAAAATTAGGATGTTTTCGATACCCAGTCATCTTATATTTATATATGCCAGAAAATAGGGCATCTCAAGTTTTTATCCAGTGATCCATGGCTATAGAACATTGCTTGGATTTGATTTTTACTTCATTTTTATAAGTTTGCTTTTATTTTTTTTTTAAGTTTTTAATTTTGGTCTCTGTTTGTGTTTGTTCTTTTTCTTATTGTAGGTAATCTGTTTGGGTGTCCTTTTGGTATCAACTTCCTGCTTAAGTCAGATTTACTGGGGGATGTAGGCAGTGAATCTCAGGCAATTTTATGGCATTGTGTAGTTATACAGAGGTGACACATTGGACCTATTTCAAAATATTGGTGATCTAGCCATTTCAATTAGTATCAGAATTTTTTTTTATTATTATGTTATGTTAATCACCATACATTACATCATTAGTTTTTGATGTAGTGTTCCATAATTCATTGTTTGCGAGTATCAGAATTTTTAATAAGGTCCATCGTTTAGTTAGACTTTCTAATACAGTCTTTCTTTATCCACTTTTATCACTGTCAATATTTATACCTCACTTTTGTGGTTTATGAGTTAGGTTTATAGGTATGTACAGCTTACTTATAATAACTTTTTGAGTAAAATAGAGAATTTTTCTAAAGACGTATTTTTTCTAATTGAGGAAATTAGGTCATCAACTGAGAAGTGGTTTAAATACAATTGATCTTTCCTAAATGGAACTAAGAGAATTTGTGTAATTTATTTCTTCAGTATTTAATCCTGTTCTTGGTACTGTTTTCACGAAATTTGTATGGTTTTAGATATTCTTAGATTTTCTCTTCCATTTGTCATTTTGGCACCATTTAAATGTACCTCCTTTTTGGCATGTTAAATAACCATAGTGTTAATTTTACATTAAGTATGTCTCATTTGAGGTTGGGAATCTTTTTAAAAATTTCAGTTGAGGGATGCTTGGCTGGCTCAGTCAGTAGAGCATGTGACGCTTGATTTCAAGGTCGTGAGTTCAAGCCCCACATTGGGAATAAAGCTTACTTAAAAATAAACAAATAAATAAAAATTCAGTTGAAAATGGGATTTTAAATTTTGTTTGCATATATTATATAAATATGCATATTTAAAGTATACTTATTTCTGTAAACAAAAGCTCAGTTTTTAAATTAGGAAAGTTATAATCAAAGTGAAATTCTTTAGGGCTATATTAAACTTTGTAAAGATCCTTTAACTTTCTGTTGTTAAATCAATGATTTCTTTTTAAGTTTAATAAATACATAGTTTACAGTATGTTTTTAAAACATTCTTTTAAAGAAAATCTATTTTGAAAGTATGATAATTTGTTACAAACTGAATTTTTTTAGTCTTTACTGATATACTGCTCATTGTAGCTATACAGTTTTACTACCATTCAGATACCATTTTGAAAATGTTTGTCATTAGTATATTTGTCCTTTTCCTCCTCTTCTCCCAACTTTAGATTTAGTGTCTCTGAAAAAGCAACCCTTTTTTTCATAGATTCACAGATGCTGCTGGTTAAATGAACTGAAACCTCCAAAGAGAGAGTTCTCATCATCTCTTTCAACCTTGCACTTAAACTAATTGCTGTCTTTGGGTGACTGCTCCCCACTATCTGTTTTGGAGTCACAAGCCTCTGTGGCCACAGGTGAATGAACCTGGCTTGAAAATGTGCCTCTTCTATAGGCACATTCTTTAAGTAAAAAAACAAAATTAATTTAAGCTAAGTCATCAGTTGGACCTATTGTACATATAAATGAGAATATTATATATTATAAAATTTGTATTTTTGATAAAGCTTAATATATCTTTTTGTTCACTTGATGGTACCAAAGTATAAACTAATTGAAATATTTTTTTAGACCTATGTGAAAAGCCAGGATAAACAATTCGCAGCAGCCACTATTCAAACTATAGGCAGATGTGCAACCAACATCTCAGAAGTCACTGATACATGCCTCAATGGCCTGGTATGTCTGTTGTCCAACAGAGATGGTAAGTTGACAGTTTCATTTTATTTTCAAGTAATTTAGCATTTGAATATTCTTTTTTTTTTTTTTTTAATGTTTTATTTATTTATTCATGAGAGTCAGAGAGAGAGAGAGAGAGAGAGAGAGGCAGAGGCAGAGGGAGAAGCAGGCTCCCCACCCAGCAGGGAGCCCGATGCGGGACTCGATCCAGGACCCTGGGATCATGACCTGAGCCGAAGGCAGACGCTTAACCATCTGAGCCACCCAGGCGCCCGCATTTGAGTATTCTTGGCATGATCTTCAAATTGTAACATTTTTTAACATTGCATTTTAGTGTTTCCTATATGTCAGTAGCATGGTCATGATGAGAGTAGCATTTTATCCTTGAAATACAAAGACACACACACTTTTGAGTTGTTTTAGTAAATTAGATAATAAACTTCCAAACAGTATTTCCTAAATAGAACTAAGAAAGTGTAATTTGTTTATTTCTTCACAGTTTAATCACCTTCCTTATACCCTTTCCACAAAGGTTCTATTTTACTGCTTTTAGTGACATGTAAGTCATGTATAATATTGGTTCACCTGCAGAGGGTGCTAAAAGCAGGCAAATGACTATAATATGGAGAAGTAGCTAGATCAAAAAAGTATGTTTATTATGTACCTTCAGAGTTTTTTTTTTCAGAAACTCATCTAATAATTTTATATTCAATATTAAACTCAATTTAAAAGTCATCAGTTTGCAACAGCTTTGTGTTTTTAAGCCAAACAACATCTAAACGTTTTGTAAAACTGGATAGGTGATAACCAGTGAAATGCATAATCTAGATTTCATATTGTTCTGTGGTAAAGTGTCAGTTATTTCTATGGTATGGCTTTAGAATAAGTAAAACCATTTGGAGAAAGATCAGTATTAGTCAACTTTCACCTTTATAATAATTTATGTAGAAGATTTTTGTTATAATTATATATTTGATTAAAACTTTTTTTAGGAAAAGCTCAATAATCTATGTAAAATTATTGAAATGATTTATGGAATTCTAAGTAATTATGTCATATTTAGACATAAGCATATAGGACATAGCAAACATAAGTTGAAACATAAGAAAATTGATTATATTTATATTCTATTTATATTATTATTTGTATTTTCACTACACTAACTCTCTTATCCCTAATTATCAATTCCCAAATGTAGATCTCTTTAGAAAATTATACCATTGTGATAACTACTTCTAATGAAAAAACTAAAACAAAATTCAGCCCAATTAAGAGTGATTTTTTTTTTTTGATTTATTTATTTGAGAGAGAGAGAATGAGAGAGAGAGAACACATGAGAGGGGATAGGGCCAGAGGGCAAAGCAGACTCCCTGCTGAGCAGGGAGCCCGATGCGGGACTCGATCCCGGGACTCCAGGATCATGACCTGAGCCGAAGGCAGTCGCTTAACCAACTGAGCCACCCAGGCGCCCCAAGAATGATTTTTTTATTGTGAACATAAAATTATAAACTTTAATCCTGTAAACTCACGATAATATGATGGAAGAACATTTTTCTACATGCAGTATTAAAACTAAGGGGCAACAAAAATTATCAAGGAAATAGGTTTTTTTTTAAAAAAGTATTTGACTATAGAAGGTAACTAGAGGAGATTAGGATGCTAAATGTTATTCATTTTACCTGTTTCTACTTTTCATCCTTTTTGTCTCTATTTCTTTGTCACACTTTAAAATGTGAGTTGAAAAACATGTTTTATTTCCTGTATCTTAATAATGACTTTCTATTCAATTATATATGACACATTTCTTGGGAAAATATTTCCAGAACATTAAAGATTATGAACCAAGATTTACCAGGGTAATTATTCTTTTAAAATTTTATTACATACAAAAAGTACTACAATTAGAATACTCACTAGTTCTTTTAAATACAAAATATATTCAGGGTTTCTAAATTTTAGTTTTTGATCTTTTTTCCCATGTGAAAATTTCAAGTTGTAGATTTTAAAGGAATTATCTCTACTTTTATAATGTATTAATTTCTTGAAAAATATTTTTTTATTGACTTTGATTTAAAAGATAAATATTCTACCCCAGTAGCACTTTGAAGGGAAGAATAGATTGTTTTGTAATTAGGTGATGGGAGATTAATATAATCTGTATTCACTCTTAAAAGTAGGAAGATTTACTAATTTAAACTCTGATATTTTGATGTTTAGGCTTTTGTTTTTGGTAAATCAAAACCGTCGTTGTAACAGTGGCTTTTTTTCCTGCAGCTTGAATACTTAGAAACTTAAATTGTATTGTCCAGATTTGGGTTGCATAATCATCACTAGCCTATAGTCTCTGATTCTTTAATTCTTTTTCATATGAGTTATACTTTTGTAGTTTGGAAACCTCATTAAAAGTAGTAAAACAAATAAGGAGAATATTTATATTAAAATCAGTAGCATTAAAGAAGGTAATATTTTTAACTTTAAAATGGTCAATCCTGACAACATAGCTCCTTTCTTCCATTAAAAGATCTGCTCTGGGCGCCTGGGTGGCTCAGTTGGTTAAGCGACTGCCTTCGGCTCAGGTCATGATCCTGGAGTCCCTGGATCGAGTCCTGCATCGGGCTCCCTGCTCGGCAGGGAGCCTGCTTCTGCCTCTGACCCTCCCCCCTCTCATGTGCTCTCTCTCTCATTCTCTCTGTCTCAAATAAATAAATTTAAAAAAATCTTTAAAAAAAAAAAAAGATCTGCTCTTAGGAATAGGTATCTAGAATGAGGCCTCAGTTTCTTTAGAATCGTCCTGTAGGATCTTTTAAAGCTCTAAGGATCTGTGATTCTTCATTTTATGTCAATACAAATATCTGGTCATCTGTTCAGATAATGTATCTTAAAACCTTAGGGGCAGCATTTAGGCTCCATTGTTTTTTACATATATTTAACACATTGTTTTTAGACCTGTGGTTTTTTTGTTTTTTGGGTTTTTTTTAAGTGTTATTGACTTCTCCCTTCTTGACATGGAGAGGACTTTTCTAGGCAGACTTGAAGCTTGCCTAAAATAGTTCAATATCACTATCTGAGATTAATTTGACAAAATTTTCAAGGACCTTTATGAGAAATCTGCATTTCATTTGGCTTAGCATAATTTAATTCTCTAAGGTAATTTACTTCAGTAACAGATTAGCAAAATTTGCTTGTCTGAATAACCTTACCATCTACTGTAAACTAAAAGGATTGGGGCAGAGGACTATTTTTTGTTTCGTTTAGTTTTTTATAATTCAGTAAACATTTATTGAGAACTTGAATATGTTGGGGTATTTAGTAAATGTTGAGTAGATGAATAAGATACTCATCCAGCCTATAAAAGGTTCCTGCCTTTACAGAGTTAACAGCCTAATGAAGAGAGAAGTAATATAAAACAAGTGTATTATAGTTTTTCTGTGTATTGACCACTTACTCTGTTGGGAGCTATCTGCTTGCATGCAGAACTAGACTACCTATGTTTGAATGTTAATGTTACCTTGAATAAATTACACAATCTCCCTGTGCTTCAGATTCTTCATTTGCAAAATGAGGGTAATAGTAGACTGTAGTAACCTTGAAGACATATGCTAAGTGAAATAAATCTGCCACAGAAAGCCAAATATTGAATGATTCCACTTGTGTGAAATATCTAAAATAGTCAAATTCACAGAATCAGAGAGAGTGGAATGGCAGTAGCCAGGGGTGGTGGAAAAGGGAAATAGGGAATTACTGAACAGCAAAAATAATGTTTCAGTTAAATTGAATAAACTCTAAAGATTTGCTGTGCAACATTGTACCTATAATCAACAATAATGTATTGTAACTAAAGTTTGGTATGAGGGTAGATCTCATGTTAAGTGTTCTTACCAAAATAAAGTTAAACTGAAAAAAGTAGTAGGCCGTATTTCTTTGAGTAAGGACCCTTAAGTTTTATTAAGTACAAGGAGGAAGCTAGGAAAGGTCCAGAACACAGGATCACTTTGTGCTTCTGGTAGAGCAGCACCACAGTCCTGTGGTCTTTGAAAAACAGGAGATAGCATAAAGGAAAAGTAGGGTGGAGTTATGTGAAGGGATGAGAGGGACTTGGGGTAAGCAGGATAATGACCCCTGCCAAAGAAGTCCAGTTTCTTATGCCCAGAACCTGTGAATATGCTACCTTCCATGGCAGAAGGGACTTTGCAGATGTGATTAAGATTCTTGAGATGGAGATCAAAAGGGTCCTTTTCAGGGAAGGAGAGATGTCAGAAGCAGAGATTGGAGCGATGCCATTGCTAGATTGGGGCCTTGAGCCAAGCAATGTGGACAACCTGTAGAAGTTGGGAAAGGCAAAGAATGGATTTTCTCCTAGAACTTCCATAGAGAGGTAGCCCTATTGACATCTTGCTTTTGGCCCCATAAGGTCTAAACTGTTAACTTCTGACTCTAGAACTGTAAGATGCTGAATTTATGTTGTTTTAAGCCACTAAGTTGTGGTAATTTATAACAACAATAGGAAAGTAATATAGCATCAAAGGATAAATGATGCCAAATATATTTTTCAACTATAGCCGATGCTGCCTCTCCATGTGTATAATTATACAATATTTTTTTCTTGGTCTAGTTTTACAATAATATATTTTAAAAATAAAAAATTTTATGCTATGGATTCTTAAAACCACACTTACCATATTTTACTTTGCATAGTAATTTTAATTTTTCTCACTGGACTATAGGTTTGGCAAAGTCAGGATCTTAATCTTTGTTTTCATCAAAGCTCAAAGCAGTGGTCTTTATATAAGTAATAGCTGTACCTCTTAACTTAGAGTTTAGAGATGAAATGGTACATTCTGAATTCTGGACAAAGTCATATAATGCTAGTACATTTCTCTCTCTTCATCTTTAAAATAATGAGAATACGGTACCTACCATATGTTACTATAGAAGAGAAAGAAATATTTATCATGTCATAAACTAAAGCATGGTATAACCATCAATTTATCATTCTACTGGAGAAAGAGATAGTTTGAAACACGTATGTTTAATAATGATTAAAATGATAAAAATTTTACTTGTATTCTTAAAGGGAGCTAGATAAGAAAATATACTTCAGAGAAAAGAATAACACAAGTCATGGTATTTCCAGTATAATATTAAAATAATACTTTGTAGTGTATGCCAGGGGAATCTCTAATGTCCAGGAAGGCCTATTAATAAAAAAATGTCAAAATAGTAAGTAGAGGTATTGTAGACTTATTTATTTGGCGTCGGTAGCATTAATAATTGTTTATATAAGATTCATTCCATAAGTTTAGGTGCTCTGGCTAACTGGATTACAGTTCTCTGATGGTGCCACCAAAAATGTAACTCTGGACCAGTGATTAGCTACTTCAGTGTGATAACTCAATCTCAGAATCCCAGTTTCAGGATCTGCTTCCTTGGAGCCAATCCCAGGACCAGTTATTATATTAAGTTAGGGCCCTGGCAAGAACAGATGGCACACTTAAAAAGGGATGATTGAAGATAATTTAATGAAGGAACTATTTATAAGATGTGGGCAGGATTAAGAGAAATCAAGAAGGTATGGTGTAACATCCTGGGGCTAATAGGCTAGTGACCATGGGAAGCCCCTTTATCATATCTAGAATTGAAAGGAAGGGGTGTGAGGAGTGGGAGCACTTACCAGACTCAGCAGGCGAGAGCCATTCAGAAGAACTGAAACTATCAGTAGAGGAATGCACACACTGCCAGGGAGACCTGGCAGTAGAGCCATCTGGGGTAGCAAATAGTCTGTCCTCCTGCCCCTTGATCTCCTGCTGGGGCTTCCTGTCAGCTAACCATAGCTGGAAGCCAGGAACAAGAGAGTTTGGTTGATGCAGTCTGCAGAGGTCAGCCTCTAAGGGCACAGAATGAGTCAGGAAAGGTAGAGAGTGGATTCACTGGACAAATGGAGACAATCCAGCACATAAGCCCACTCTTTCTGGCTCTGAAGTCAGTGCTATTTCTATAGTAACACCTTTCTTAGGACTAATGATCCTTAGTACTAATGTTTTCTGTTATCACTTAAGGAAACTTTTGGTTTTAGTTTGCTGTTTTCTTTAGAATTGGAAAAAAAGTTATTTAGGTTGTAGGTGTTTGATTACCACTATGTAATTGATAGAAACCAAAGAACCATATGGTAACTATTTGATTACCACTATATGGTAGGAATCAAATATTTGAAAGCTGTAGTTAAAATCTAACCTCACGTTGCTTTTCTGACTCAAAGAGGCAGATGTTGGAAGGGGATATCAGAAGCTAGGAGGCAACAACACAAGTTAGAAATTAAAGTATACTCCTCTGCTTAAGACAGTGTTCACCCCCAAAGTTTGGAAATATACTCGTGATTATAGTTTTCACCTAGTTATTTGAGACCTATAGAATATTTTGCTAACTTAAATTCATATTTTACCAAGGATACTGCATTTGAATTGCATTATGCATATTTAATATGAATAATCTCTCTTTTTCAGAAATAGTTGTTGCTGAAAGTGTGGTTGTTATTAAGAAATTACTGCAAATGCAACCTGTACAACATGGTGAAATTATTAAACATATGGCTAAACTCTTGGACAGTATAACTGTAAGTACCAATTAAGAGATCTTTCTGAATTTAACTGGATTTTAGTCAATAAATTATAGTGTTGTGGAAATAAATGGACATCTTAAAATATAGTGGCTAAGAGAGCTTAACTGTCTGGATTCACATCCTGGTTCTAAGATTTTACACTGTTGTGGAAGGGATTATAAATCTGAAAAAGGGGAAGGATGCAATAAATGCTGCAGTGTTAGATTGGAAATGGAGATATCAGTGTGAACTTCATGGGTTTATAAATTCTAGATGCGTGTGTGTATGTAAATGCGTGTGTGTGTGTGTCTATACACATTTATGTGTATACATGTGAATGTGTATGTTGAGTATACAAACATCTCTTTCTTTGAGAGGGTCTGCATGCAATAATGCCCAATACAAATGAGCACACCTAGTACCTAGATTTTGTTTTGTTTTGTTTTTAATTGAGGTATATAATTTTATACCATAAAATGTACTCATATAATTTTGCAGTTTTTTGTATATTCATAAGGTTGTGCAACCATCACTACTGTGTAATTCCAGTACGTTTTCATCATTCCAATAAAAGAATCCCATGGCTCAAGCTGATCCTCCCTTTACTCCAGCCCTTGTCAGCTACTAATCTACTTTGTCTCTGTGGATTTGCTTATTTTGGACATTTCATATAAATGGAATCATACATCAAATGGCCTTTTGTGTCTGGCTTCTTTAACTTAGCATGTTTTCAAGGTTTGTGCATGTTCTAGAATGTAGTACTGCATTCCTTTTTTGGTAGACCTTGGTTTTTAAATTTCATTCACCCCTTGAAGGAACCAGGGCTGCTTAGAGAAATGGCTGATTTTAGAACTAGGGCAAGGAAAGAACAAGATGATCTTGGAACATCTTGTTGGGCAAAAATAGCAAGGAAATGCTCACAGAATGATAGAGACGTGTCAAAAAGACACAAAAACCAGCTTGAAGGGGCAACCACTGGCCACTTTGGAAAACAAAATAAATTATAGTAAAAGGATTATGGCCTATTGAATAGAGTAAGAATCTGTTGAGGCCACACTGGAATGAATGAATGAATGGATGAATGAATGAATGAGAAAGGGAAGCTCTTTCTTACAATGCAAAACTAGTAAATGTGGAAGGAATGATGGAATTAGAATATCACCACTTGCAAGCCATCACAATAATAATAGATTGAGGTAAGAATCATTAACAAATGGTAAAAAGTAGGGGGTGAAAGTTTGAGTAGTCATAGGATATTTGTACAGTTTCAAAGTATATCCTCATAAGATACTTAATTACAAAGCATAAATTAATGACTTTTGACTTTTACAATAGGAGAAACCTTGCAGATATTACCTGAACCAAATGAACATAGTTTACATTGCCAGCAATGGGATTAAACACCATCTGATATAATATAGTGAATAGAAGTTAGCATCAGGTCTGTTGAATTTTTGCCAAAAGTGAATGACTTGAATATAATCAAGAAACAAGAGACAAACCCAAATGAGAGTATACTACAAAATAACTGGTTTGTACTCTTTAAAAATGCCAATATCATGAAACGTAAAGAAAAACTCAGGAACTTTTTCCCATTAAGAGAGTTTAAAAGGATAGGACAACTCTATGCACCACATATTTTTATATTTTCTTTTGCTATAAAGGATTTGGTAGGATTTGGTAGGGATAATTGGTAAAATCTCACTAAAATCTGTAGATTAGGTAATAGTATTGGTTCAGTATTTAAATTCCTAATTTTAAAATCATTTTACTGTAGCAATACAAGAGCATTCCTTTTATTACAAAGTTTGCAATGAAGTATTTTGATGTTTAAGGATAAGTCTGCAACTTTCCTTAATTTAGAGAACAGTATTTGTGTATATATAGAAAACTAAAGCAAATGTAGTAAAGTGATGACATATGAGGAATCTGGGTGAAGAGTATTCAGAAGTTCTTTTTATTCTTCCAGCTTTTCTATAAATGTGAAATTGTGTTTAAAAAATTAAATTAAAAAATACTAATCTTTGTCCCACCACTTACCCGCTTTGTGCTTTTACATTAAAATCTCCATACTTTTCCCATCTTAAAATGGTGATAATAAAAAAAAAAAAAGCAAAAACAAAAAACCCTGGTATTTTGTACATATTACATTAGTTAATATATATAGTGCTCTTAAGAATATTTCCTGGCACATAGTGGTACTATGTCTCCTGTCATTATTATTTAGGTCCTATTTCATTCCCTTTTTCTAATTATATTTCCTGTTTTCAGACTCCTCAGTCTGTGTCAGTCTGATTTTGACTCCTCACCACTAACACTGACTTTTCCAGGGTCATTGACTGTCTTCTTATTAAACACAGTGGGTAATTTGCTGTTGATGTCTTTCATGATCTTTTGTTAGCATTTGACTTCACATACTGCTTCTTCCCTTTTGAAACATTCTCCATGGCTTCTTTCTGGTTTTTCCTCAAACTCTTTTCCATTGTGTTTGCCCTTCACTATGTCCCTTCAATGTTGATTAAAGTTTTCTTTTTTCATTGTTGGTTAAAGTTTAAAACTAATGTTCTATAACTAATAGGGTTATAGTTTAGGGGGGAAATATATTATTTCTTCTTTGAAGATGGGGTAACTACGTATACTCTGAGTCTTTTCAGAGGGATTATATTTGTGTGGTTTAAGGCAAGGTTTGGAGCTGCATCAGGACCAATATTTAATATCTCTGGTGGCAAAATTTTCTTTCCCTTGGGGTGTTAGTAAAGTTTGCAGGGCAGTTATATGTGTATCTTAAAGCTTAGAATAAGACTCACAGGAGTCTGTTAGCATCTGAGCTCCCACCAAATCAATCACTAGAGTTCCTTTGTCTTTATATCTACTCTTATTATTGATTCTAATTATCAAAGCCAGGACTTCTCAGAGACTGTGTATGAGAGGTGTAGGTATTAAGAGAGTAAATTTGGTATTAGCAGACTTAGGAAGCTTAAACTCATACCAACTGTCTTTCCTGACCACAGTGGTATGAAGTTGGAAATCAACAATAAGAGGAATGTGAAAAGGTGTACAAATAGGGTTGTTAAAGAGGAAATTAAAAGAAAAGAATTATCTTGAAATAAGTGAAAATGAAAATACAGCATATCAAATATTATGGTATGCAACAAAAGCAGTTTTGAGAGGAAAATTTATAGCAATAAACACACATATTAAGAAATTTAGAAAGATCTCAAAAAACGACCTAACCTTACATCTCAAAGAATTAGATTTAATTAAAACCCAAGCCCAGCAGGAGGAGGAAAATAAGAAGGATCACAGCAGAAATAAATGAAATAGAGACCAGAAAAATAATAGAAAAGATCAATAAAACTAAGAGCTGGTTCTTTGAAAAGATAAGCAAAACTGACAAACCTCTAGCTAGACTAAGGGAAAGAAAGAATAAATAAATAAAATTAGAAATGAAAGAGGAGACATTACAATTGATACTACAGAAATATATAGAATTATAAGAGACTACTATAAACAATTATATGCCAACAAATTACATAATCTAGAAGAAATGGATGCCATTTCTAGAAACACACAGCCTACCAAGAGTAGAATTCTACCAAACATTTAAAGAATTAACACCAGTCCTCCTCAAACTCTTCTAAAATAATGAGCAGGAGGGAATACTTCCAAACCCATTCTACAAGACCAGCATTACTTTGATACCAAAAGCAAATAGGATACCATAAGAAAAAAAAAAAAACTGTAGACCAATATCCCTGATGAATATAGATGGAAAAAATTTCAGCAAAATATTAGCAAACTGAATTGAAGAACACTTTAAAAGGATTATACACCATGACCAAATGGGATTTTTCCTTAGGATGCAAAGATGGTTCACTCTACACAAATCAGTAAAATCAGTACATCACTTTAATAAGATGAAAGACAAAAATCACATGATTATCTGAATAGTCAGGAAAAAGCATTTGACAAAATACAACATCTTTTCATGATAAAACCCTTAACAAATTGGTTGTAGAAGGAACATACCTCAACATAATAAGGAACATTTATGACATACCTACAGCTAACATTATACTCAGTGGGAAAAAATAGAAAACGTTTCCCCTGAGATCAGGAGCAATGCAAGGATATGATATAGGCTGATACGATTCTATATGTAGAAAATCCCAAGAGTTAGTCAAAACACTGTTGGAATTAGTGATTTCAGTTATGAGGCGTGTTACAAAATTAACATAGAGACATCAGTTACATTCCTTTACAGGAAATGAAGCATCTGAGAAAGAAAGAAAACCATCCCCTTTACGATAGCATCAAAACAATAAAATGGGTAGGAATAAATTTCAACGAGAAAGTGAAAGATCTGTATAATGTAAATACAACCCACATTCATGAATGAGAAGGATTAATATTGTTAAAATGGCCATATTACTTAAAGCCATCTACAGATTTAATGTAATCCCCATCAAAATACAAAAGGCATTCTTCACAGAAACAGAAGAAACAATCCTAAAATTTGTGTGGAACCACAAAAGAGACTGAGTAGCAAAAAAAACCTGACAAAAAAAGAACAAATCCAGAGGTATCACACACCCTGATTTGAACTGTACTGCAAAGCCATAGTAATAAAGGCAATATGGTATTGGCACAAAAATAGACATAAAGACCAATGGAACAGAATAGAGAGCCTGGAATTAAACCCTGGCATATATAGTCAACTAATACTCAGCAGGGGAGTCAAGAATACCTAATGGGGTGGTGCTGGGAAAACTGGAGAAACACATGCAGAACAATGAAATTGGAAAACTGTCTCACTCCACTCAAAAAATTTAACTCAGAATGGGTCAAAGACAAAATATAAGACCTGATACTCGTAAAAGAAAACATAGGGTCTTTCCCGTTCATTAATACTGGTCTTGGCAATAACTTTTTTGGGCATGACATCAAAACCACAAACAACAAAAGAAAAAATTAACAGATGGAACTACATCAAACTCCAGATCTTCTGTACAGCA